CTAGGGGATTTCCAGTGGGCTTATTTTCGTTCATTCTAAAGGCCGAGGCCACGTCCACCGACCCCGAATCACTGTGAACCCCGTGGAACGACCAGTGCCCTTTACGTCTAGCTTGATGTTTGACGCCGAGCCTGACATAATAATTCCGAAGGGGAACGCGATGCTCACCCCCATCCAGGGCCACTTTGGCAAGACAGTGAAACATGCATGCATTGACCTTGAACTGTGATATTTTGACGTTGACATTCAACCTTGACTCTAAACTTTGGAACCTTCAACCTTCACCTTGGGTCCTCGAACCTTGCCTGTGAACTCTGGAATGTTTGGCCCTTCTAGGCGCCCAGCCTGTTGCGCCAGCTCTGCCGCTTCAAACAACCCCATGGGCGCCATCATTGAAGACGTTGACGGCGATAGCAGCGCAACTAGCATCGACGCCATCATCGCCGCTGGCATCGACCCTGGCACCGAAGCCAGCGCGGGCGCCTGCGCCGAAGTGCTCGCGGACACTGGCGCCGACCCAGCGCGACGCCAACATTCGCCAGAGCGGTGCCGGGGGAAATTCGTCGGCAGCTGGTCCCAGCGGCCCATCGCGCGCATCACCCGCGCGCGGATCGGCCAGAGGCGGGTCGCGGTAACGGCCCGCCACCGCCGCGTGCCAGCATCGACGCCGGCATCGGCGCCAGCTCCGGCGCCAGCACCCAAGACATTAGCGACCCCAGCATTGCAGCCAGCACCGACGCCAACACTGACACCAGTGACGACCCAAGCATCGACGCCAGCACTGACGCCTCACCAATCCCCGCATCAACGCCAGCGTTGCACTGATCCCATCGCCGAAGCCAGCATCTACTCCTGCACCAGCACGAGCACCGCCACCACCACCGAGGCCAACACCCCCGCCAGCACCGACCCCCGCGTCGACGCCAGCATCGCTGACGACACTTACTTCACCGCCGGAGCCGGCATCGACGCCAGCATTGACTCCAGCGTCAATGCCACCACTGGCACCCGCAGCGGCGCCCCCAGAAGGCAGCATTCACCCTAGCCGCGAAGCGAGCATCGACGTCAGCACCGACGCCAGCACTGACCCCAGCATCGACGCTAACACTAACCTGAACATTGGCGCTGGCATCGGCGACAGCATCGACTCAAGCACTGGAGCTTGCATCGACGCCCGCACCGACGCCAGAATGGACCCCGAGCGGCACTGAAAACCCAACGAGATGCTCACCAGAGAGCCAGGTCGTAGGCTCTGCATGAGCCTCCCGACGCCCATCCCTCCCGGGCACGGAAGACACAACTGGCCCCAGGATCGACGTCAACACCATCGACCCCTCCAAAGACAGCATCGACTCAAGCGCCGACGCCAGCATCGACGTCCGCACCGACGCCAGCATCGACCCCAGCGTCGACGCCAGCACCGACGCTAGCATCGACGCCAACATCGACGCGCGCATTGAGGACAGCATGGACTTCAGCACAGGCGCCCACATCCACGCCAGCATCGACACCACCACCAACCCCTGCGTCGAAAGCAGCCCTCACGACAGCATTGACGTTAGCATCGACGCCAGTTTCAACGGCATCATCGAACCCACATCGGCGCCAGGATCGTCTACAGCGCTGACCTCAGCACTGGCGCCAGCATCCGCCCGGCATTGAGGACGACGTCGACTCTGGCATCAGCGCAAGCGCCGACGCCAGCATCGGCGCGCGCACTGCCCCCAGCATCAACGTCAACATTGACGCCAGCGCCGACAACGGGATCGGTGCCAGCATCGGAGACACCATCCACTGCAGCATCGGCACTAGCATGGACTCGAGCATCGAATGGCGTGTCGAGGACAGTATCGACTCCAGCGCAGACGCCCGCATCTACGCCAGCGTCGACACCGCCACCGACCCCAGCATCGAAACCGACCATCACCTCAGCATCGACGCTAGCATCGACGCCTGGTTCAGCACCAACATCGAACCCACACCGACGCCACCATGACCAACAGCGCTGACCTCAGCACTGGCGCCGGCATCCGCACCAGCATCGAGGACAAGGTCGCCCCCAGCATCGGTGCAAGCGCCGAAGTTAGCATCGACGCGCACACTGCCCCCAGCATGAACGCCAACAGTGACGCTACCGCACAACAGCATCGGAGACACCATCGACTACAGCATCGGCACTAACGTGGACACCAGCGTCGACACTGGCGTCGACCCCAGCACCGAAGCCAGCATCGACGCCATTACCGACGTCGGCATCGACGCCAGCACCGACGCCAGCAACGGCACCAGCAACGAAGACAGCGATGACCCGAGTACCGCAGCCAGGACTAGCATCACCACCGACGCCAGTATTGACCCCAGCACCAACGCCAGTTCCGACCCCAGCATCGACCCCAGCATCAGCGCCAGCCGCGAAGGCGGCAGTGACCCCAGCACCGGAGCAAACATCGTTACAAGTTTCGAGGACAGCATCGATTCCAGCACAGGAGCTTGCATCGACGTTTGCGCCTACGCCGGCATCGATCCCAGCATCGACGCGACCAGTGACGTCAGCATCGGGGCAAACACTGAAGACAGCAACGACCACCAGTGCCACAGCCAGCACCCACGCCAGCATCGACACCAGCACCGACCATAGCACATCCCAGCACCGACGCCAGCATCCACCTCAACATCAGCACCATCATCGGAGATGGCACGGCCCCAGCACTGGGGCCAGCGTCTACGTCAGGACATCCACCAGCACGGACTCCAGCATCGCCGCCGCCACATCGACGGGCAAGCAATACGTAGCACCAGGGGCCGCAGACAGCAGCACCATAACGGCGCCCTAATCCGCCCCCCATCAGACGCCTTACCCAGCGGCCAGCAGCAGCGCCACGACTGCAACTAGTAGCGCCGCCGACAAGGCGGAAACCAACACTACAACGAGGTGACAGCAACGCCACATCGTCCGACGCCCTGCCCACACCATCGCCCCCTGGTCAGCGCGGCTCTCGGTTCCCAGGGGCAATAACGAGTCCGAGGCCCCCGCTCACACAGCGACGGGCCCTGGGACGGCGCAAGGGTTGCAAGGCATGCCCGGCAGCACCTTTCGCCCACCCCGACGCAACCTTGGCATCCTTTCGGCCCACGCCCTCCCAGCACCCACCCACGACCCACCACCACCACCACCACTTTTCCGCCCCCCCCCACAACTGTTACCTCCTGTGGCTGGACCGCGGCGCCAGCACCACCACCGTCGCCACCCCCGTGCCGCCCTCCCACAGGGGGGGGGGGGGGGGGGGGGGGGGGGCGATTGGCGGCCCTGAGGGGGGGGGGGGTAAACTGGGCCTGCTGCGGCCCGCGGTTGCAGCCCCCCAGGGTACGCCAGGAGGGTAGGGGAGGAGTTTGGAAGGGGCCTCGTGGGTTGCGGCGCGTACGTCCTTTTTGGGTTCGTTTTTTTTCCGTTTCCGGCGAGGCAGTTGCTCCTCGTGGTCCGTCAACCGGACTCGCCGAGGGTTGGGGATGGGTGCCGACGACGCACGTCTCCTGGCTCCTCGCCCTGCTCTGACTCTGACGATGGGACGGCGCCGAGGCCCCCCTTCCCCTGGTGTTTGGCATGTTCTTCGTCTTCCCCTCGACGTCGGGGTTCCATCAGCAGCGGCGAGGCTCGCTGCCCGCCCGCGCGCGCTGACCAGCCTGCTCTGGACTCCCGAGCGCGGCACCGCAGTCCGTGAGCGTGCTCTAGCCTCTTCTACAGGTCCCCCTGTTTCGCGGCTACGCCTTGGGGCGGGGCCCCCCATCAGCCCTTGTGCCGGGTCGCTCTCTCTCTCTCTCTCTCTCTCTCTTGTCTCAACGGCGCGGGGCCGTTGCAAGGGCGGCGCCCCCGCGGGCGCGCGGGCGCCAGCCCGCGCGCACAATCCGCCCTCGGGCCCTGCTCCCAGGATGTAGGCGGCGGAGAAGGGGGTGCAGACATCGGAGCGTTCGTTGCCTGGGCCTACACTGCTAGGTGCTGCTAGGCCGACGAGCGCGAGCAGTTGCGCGCGCGCCAGGCCGCCCGTGGGCTCGGCTGGGCAGCCAGAGAGTTGAGAGCCGCCCCCCAGCGACCGGCGTCGCCACAATCGAGAGCACGCCGTGTCCAGTGCTAGGATTGCTAGCACATTGTTCGGGGGGTCTTCCACTAAGTCGTTGACGGACAGGTGGCCGGGCAGCGCCGCTTCGCTCCAGAAGGCGGAGAGGAGGTCGATCGCCTCTCGCCAGAGCTGGAGCCCGTCAAAGATCCTGACTAGTGCAACGCGCAGTCGTGGAACGGTGGTGCCCCATACCAGGGTTGCCAGCACGCTAGTCCACTCATTGCTACTGTCGAGCGCGGCGGCCGTTTGGTCCGCGCCCGGTGCCTCGCGCGCGGCCGCAGCCCTGGCGATGACCCGCTTTGCGGAGGGAGGAGTGCAATCTTTTCTGTTCGCGTGGCGCCATGCATCGATGGACCCGTGGAAGGCAAACCGGCTCGCCCCAGGGGGTTGCGTGGACTCGGAGTCCCAGCACCTGGGGCTGCAAGGGCCGGACGCGGTCGCTGTTGCCCAGCTCTCTTTCCGAAAGCCGCCTGAGGCAACGAGGTGGACTAGTCGGGGTCCGCCTCGGTCCACGTTTTCCGCGGCGCTGGGCGTCCGATTGTTTCGTGTGGCAATCCAGCAGCGAACCAGAGCGCCCTTCAAAGTAGGCCAGGCGGCGCTGCCAGAGCGGTCAGATCATTGTCCGTGAAGCGTCCAGTGGCCCAAAGCGCTTCAGGACGAGCCGATATGTTCGCTCAGCGACGGCCCCGGGGAGAGGTTTTGCTGCATATTTCAAGAGGGTTGTACCTGTCGTCCCGCGATCTCTCTGGGGCGGGCTTCACGCGGTAACAGGGGAGGTCGTTCAACATCAGCGGCTCGCCGATTGGAAGCAGTGGGGGGAAGGTGGGAGGAACCACGGGGGGGAGGGGGGGACGCGGGGGGGGGCTGAGATTTTGCCCGCCAAAGGCCGTCGAGGATGGGGCGCAACATGAAGACGAGGCTCGGGTGTCGTACAGCTCGGCCACACCCGCGTACCATCGGAACATCTCGCGCACCGTACGGCTCTGTGCTCGATCTTCGGGCTACGGCTACAGCTGGCAGGTTGCCACCACGAGCCGCCGCTCGTCAGTCTTCGGCTTGGGCAGCGGTGCAGAGGAGGAGGGCGCTGTGTTCAAGTACTACAGCAAAGTTGACAGCTTTAGGATCGAGCAGGCGTACCAGCGGGGCGACTCCAAGGTCCGCCTGAAGGCGTACGTGCCAGACCGCCAGCCGCTCGAGGTCTTCTTCGCCGACATGATCGAGTACAATCCGTCCGAGAGGACGCACAAGCAGGTGCGGCGCCGAGGGCGCCAGACCCTGGCGATGCACCTGCAGCGGCGCGTCAGCGAGGTGCTGCGGCAGCTGGAGACGGGCAGGCCTCGGAGGGAGACCTGGGTTCAGTACGAGCAGCGCCGGTGCAGGGCCCTCGCGCGCGCGCAGGGCCTGTCGGCGCTCGGGCAGCGGGGGACCACCAGGACCGAGGGATGGTTGTCAGCCATGCGCAAAGGGGGTAAGGAGAGGGGGGACGGCTTCTTAGAATAGCTTTGCTTCTTAGAAGGCGCGGGCCTGATCTGTAGATGTGAGGCCGGCGCCTTGTAAGAAGCAAGGTGTTTCTAAGAACCCCCCCCCCCTCCCCTTACCCCCTTGAGCGCGGCGCCAAGTCGAGGGAACTCGCGGTTCGAGGTTTCTTCTGGGCTTTCGTCGGCCCTTGGCGGTTTTCCAGACTCGGGATGCTCTCCAGCAGTTGCGCCTCGCCGAGAGCGTCCGGGGGGGGGCCCAGATCGTCCCGAACGGCCATTGGAGACCAGAGTTGCCCGAAAAGCAAGCGGAATGGGCAGGGGGGTGATGGTCCATTCGGAGCAGCTTCGCCCGTGTTTGTCTTAGTTTTGCTTACACGTCGGTCGTTGAAAGTTTGTACTTCAGGATCCCCAGATCCCAGTATACTTCAGGTGCCTTCCTACTTCAATAAAATCTACTTGATTCGCCATCCTATGTCATGCTTTTACTTACTTCTTCCGACCGACGGATCACCGATTTTTGAAGACCGGCGTGGTTTCCCATGTCCAAGGGGGGCACCTGAGTTCGGAACGAAGGGGTTTACGAAGTCTGCTGCGTGCAGCTGGTCTCGGTCCCGCCGCCATGCGCGTTCCTCGATGCACTCGGCGCCTGACTGCGGCGCTGGAGGCGCCGGGAAAGCCAGCTGTGGGAGCTGATTCGCTACGGTCGGACCGAGGTATGAGATCGACGTCTGCTCGGGGAGGGTACCCCAATGTTCTTCGTGCTTGTTGGATGTTCTTGTGCGTCCTTGGGGGGGCACCCTCGAATGGTCCTCAGTGTGGCCGGCGGAGGGTCTCATGTTCTTGAAGGATCTTCTTCTGTCTTGGGTCCAGTTGCCAAAAAAACCTTTACGACCCTCTTCTCCGCTCCTCCGACCCGAAGGAGGGCCGTGGAGACCCAGGTCTGGTCGCCAGAAGACGCCAGCTTTGGTGCCGTCTGCGCCCAGATCGTGCAGAGCGGTTGGTTCACCTTGCTGTCGACGGTGGCCGTGGTGTTGAACGGGATATGGATCGGGGTGGACACGGATTGGAACACGTCAACGAGTCCTTACGCTGGCTCTGGGTATGAGATTTTTTTCATAATGGATTGGGCATTCCTGGTGGTGTTTTCGCTGGAGCTGGTCGTCCGATGCCTGGCTTGCAAGAGAAAGGCCGACTGTTTGCGCAATGCCTGGTTGCGCTTCGATGTTGTATTGGTGGCGATGATGTTCATCGAGACGCTGCTGCCCCTGGTGGTCATCGGACGGGGCTAGGATGAGGATAGATCCGTTCCAGAACGTTCTGGAACGCTCTCAGAGCGTTCCCGAAGCGATCTGAGAAGGCCGCGGCGCCCGAGACATCCTCGAGAGCTACCAGATCTCAGGAATTCTCGACGTATCCTCACCCGATTTACCCTCGTCCTGGCTTCGTTTCAGGTCGTCCTGTTCAGCCCCGAGGGCAGCCGCGTGGACCTGAAAGGGCTGAGCATCCTGCGGCTCCTGCGGCTCCTGCGCCTCTCGCGCATCGCCAGGGCGCTGCGCGCCTTCCCCGAGGTCGTCACCATTCTCAAGGCCAGGGGCAGCGTTAGGGAGGAGAGGAAAAGGGACGCGCTGGGAGTGGAGGAAAAGGTACCCAAACCTGTCCCCTTCCCTCGCTTTCGCCTGTCTGGGTCTTCTGGGAGGCCCTCGTCGCCACCGCTGGTTTCGCCCCGAAATTCTAGTCAGAACGCACCCCGGAAGAGGCCCGGGGAGTAACAGTATCGGTTTTTCGTGGTTTTCCCAGTCAGAGGGGGGGACGACGCATCGACCCCTAATCGCGCATTGATCGCCGACAGTATTCCAGCTCGATGCTCCCCACTCTGAGCTGGTCTCCCCCTAGCGTTGCACCTCAAAAGGGGATCGCCGCCGCGACCCGGTCGGTGGTCGTCACGCTGCTCCTGGTAGTGGCGGTGACGTACGTGTTTGCCATCTTCTTCAAGACGCAGTTGCAGGGCTACGACGAGATCAGCGAGTTGTACTTCTCATCCGTGGCCGATTCGATGTGGACCCTAATAGTCCACGGCACCATACTTGACAGCGTCGGCCCGGTCATGAATGCGATGCAGTCCGTAGGTTGGGTGCTGCCGGCGGCATTCCTGGTGTACGTGCTCATATCCTGCTTCACGCTCATGAACATGCTCGTGGGCATTTTGTGCCAGGTCGGCCAGTGCCCCCCATCCCTCCTGCTCATTCCGCTTCATTCCCGAAGGCCTCCGGAGGGCGTCGGAGGCCCAAAAGAAGACCCCAAACGCCCCAGGAAGTTGGATCCTGGATCCTCGATCCCCCTCTACTCCCCCGTCCTAAGTGTAAGCATGACCCAAAAACCCAAAACGACCAACAACCTCGACCCTCGATTTCCCTCTTGCCATCTCTGCCTCCTTCCTTTCTACTGCCTGCTCTTCTTTCCTTAACTCCCCCATCCTCTCCCTTACCCCACTGAGAAGCCCGCGTTCCACAGGGAGCTTGGAGCCTCCAGGTGGCTCCGCTTACGGGTGCTGCTTCTCTTGCGCACTACAGTTGGCACAACGCTTACCCTGGAAGGGTATGCTTATGTTCTTCTCACCACCCACCAAACCACTCCAACCCAACCCGAAGGCTTCAATTTGCCCTCCATGTCCAGTGTGGGGGATCGGGGAACATGGGAAACACATGGAACCCGTACCCCCCAACCCAAAATTCGGGTCTTCGGGTAAGGTTGGGGTGGTTTGGTAGGCAGTCATCTTCGCGGTTGACTTTCCAACCTCGGAGTGCCATTCGTTCTGGGTACACCTTGACTGGGCCTTGGGCCACACCCACGAAATCGAAAAATGCACGGGCATGAACGTCCGAGCGGTTGCCAGGTGAGCGATGCAAGAAAACGCGGTCGATCGCGCGGACATTCGCGCGTAAGATCGCGCTTGCGCGCCCTCGTTTCCAATGTAGCGTGCCGCGCCGGCTTCCAGTGTAAGCTGCGGCGTAAAAGCGTTATGCCATCTCGCGCAAGACCCGTTTCTGATCGTCGTTCTTATTTCGGTTGCAGTTGATTCGGCGGCGAGCGAAGGGGGGAAGTGAGAACGAGAAGGCCTTCTCAGAAGGCGGCGGGGCTTCTCAGAAGCGCTCCGACCTTCTGAGAAGTTTTCTGTGTCTTCGGAAAGGGCTTATAACATTTTTCAGAAGGCCAGGGAACTTCTGAGCCTTCGGAGAAGGCCCGCCCCTTCTCACTTCCCCCCCCCGGCTCGCCGCCGATTGATCCCCAGGTGAGCGATGCAAGAACACGTGGTCGACTCCGCGGGCATTCGCACGCAAGCTGCCCGCATGTGGTCGCATGTGGTCGCGCGTACGCGGCCTCGTTCCCCATGCGCCGTGCCGCGCCCGCGGCCCGCGTAAGTTGCGGCGCAAAAGGTCGCTATGCCATCGTGCGTAAGACCCGCTCCCGACCGTCGCGCAGGTCCTCCTCCGCTCCCGCTCCCGTGCCAGGTCGTCTCGCAGGTCTCCGCGCACGAGAGGGCCGCGGCCGAGAGGAGCTACCTGGAGACCAACCTGCTCGAGATCCTCGAGTGCTATGACCGGCACGACAGGTCCCGGCTCGACCGCGACCAGCTGGATCTGGTGTTCCGGAACCCCGAGGTCGGCTGCGGCTGTTCGATTTGGGACCACGTGTGTCGTACCTTCGGTCGAGGATCGAGGTGTTGCACCGACCAGGGTCGAGGTCTGGAATCGTCAAGCATCGAGGTCCGGCGGCGCTGATCGAGGTCCGAGGGCCGAGGTTTTGGGCGCAGTTCGATCCCGAGGTCGGCAAGGTTCGGTTGACCTCGATCCCCGATCACCGACGGGAGGTTTTTCACGATTTTCGGCCTCCAGGGGCCCTTACAAGGCCTCGGGACCGTCAAAAACGGCTCAGGACGGAAACCCGGTCCCGGGGAAGGGGTCCAGACCTCTCGGGATCGACGCCGTGGAAGAATCACGACGCCAGAGGTTTGGATCTCAAGCGAGAAGGTCATACTGACGCCCTTCCCCGTCTTCGCCTCCTTGGGCCTCGTGTGCAGCCCTCCTGGGTCACTCCCCTGTCCCTTCTCGCTTCGCCCGCGGGCCCGCCTTCTCCACGCTCCCTTCCTCCCATCGCAAGAGATGTGAGTCAAGGACTGGCCGGCACGCCGCCGGCCTGCGCCCCAATGTGGAGAGACGTGCCGTTTTGTGTCTCTCCGCTTGCCCAGCCGCTCTGGCGCGGGGTGTACCCTCGCGTCCCTCCTCGCCACGGCTGGACTCGCATAGGAGCTCTTGTCATGAAACACGCGGGGAGGGTCGGCGAGGCTCGCTCGATGTATGAACCACGTCGCTTGGTCGATGGCGAAGGAATTTGTGTAGGCGCTCCAGCATCCCACAGGTCGGGTAGCTGCGGCGTCTATACCCCGGCTCCGCGGCCGACCAAGCGACGTGGTGTAGACATCGAGCCCTTCCCAGAAAGGTCTCTTGAGCAAGAGTGCGCGGCATTGGCACCCTTTCGGCACCGCAGACTCGTGTCTCAAACGAAACAACGCAGTTTGCTCCTGTGGGGCTCTCTGGTTGCTCGACATGGAGTGAGCCCCGTGAACGTCGAACGAGCCTCGCCGATGGGAGCATCGACATCGGGCGAGCATCGTGGATGGGACTCGATGCGAAAGGGGAGACATGCAGAGGTGGGGTTGGTGGGGTGCGAGGGACACAGAGGGAGGAACGGAGGTGGAGGAGCCGCAGGAGGAGGTGGACGGATGGGAGGAAGAGAAGTTCGTTGGTTCTCTGTCCTCGTCCCTCGCCACCTTTTCTCGCGCGCCCGGAAGGAAGAGGAAACGGAGGAGGAGGCAGAAGGCGGTGGAGGGAAGACGTGGAGGGGGTGGAGAAGGAGGAGGAAGGAGGAGGAGGAGGCGGAGGAGGATAAGGAGGATAAGGAGGAGGAAGAGAAGGAACGTGAATTGTAATATAGAGGAGGAGGAGGAAGCAGGATATTGCAAAGGCGCGAAGCGATTGAATGATTACTGGCGTTTTGCCTATCCCTATCAGCGTGAGGCTCCGGCCCACCGCTTTAGGTTAATTCGTCTGTGCGCGCCCCGTTTGACTGGACTCGCCGCTGGCGCGCTCGCCTGCGGCCGCTGACAAAAGAATACCCGATCAGCCCTTCCATCAACGATGCCCAGGCGAGTTGCATGGATCGGGGAAGTGAGCGCAGGCCGCGCAATAGCGAGGGTGCGGGCCCAGGAGTCGGCCAGAAATGATTTCGCCGATTTTTCTCGATAGGGGAGCCCCTTGGCAGATTTCGTGTGCTGTTTTGGGGGTGAAGGGGGGATGCTGGGCAGCGTCGGCATGGAGGCGCCGGAGCCTAAGGCCCGCCAGAATTATTCGGCCGTGCCATGCCATGCACGCGGGGGAAGGAGACGCAGCCCGCCTCCCCGCGTCGCTTCGAGGCGGGCGAGATTAGCCTCGTCCGCTCCGTCGCTCGCGTGGCGTTCCGTCGAATGCTCCGGCCAGCCGTCGCTCGCGCCTGCCGTTTGTCGGGTGCGACGCTCGCTCCGGAGAGAAGAAGGAGCCTGAAGAGGGGGAGGAAAAGGATGAGGGGCAGGTGGAAGAGCGAGGAGGGGAGGGAGGATCGTGAGAGGGCAGAGAGGGGAAACAGGGGAAGGGGAGCAGGATGCGGAGGAGAGGGAGGAGAGGGAACGAGGGGCGCGGGAGGTGCACGACGTGTTGAACAAGTTCGGGACCGACGCGCAGGGCCTGGAGTTGCTCCTGGACGCCCAGCTCACGGGCCAGACGGACCTGGGTCTGCGGGACATCTTGGACACCGCGCTAAGATTGGGCGGTGGCAAGAGTGCTCACGTCAAGGACGTGCGGGTCCTCCTCTTCCTCCTCTCCTTCCTTCTCTTCCTACGCATCCTCCTCCCGTGGCATCACCTGATCAGCGTCGTCTCGCCATCTGTCTCTCCGGTTGCTCTAATGCTGCTTCCATCCGCACCCTAGAACCCTGCATATTGAACCGATCGACAGAAACCAGACGCCAGGTAGTAAACCAGGAATGATAATAATGTTTCTCTTCATTGAATATCGGGAACTAAGTTCCCTCGGGGCTCCATGAGACGCAGCCTTGCCCTCCTCGCCAAATACAAGGTCAGGGGGGAGGACGAGGACACGCGGAGGGGGGGCGGGGGCAAACATTGAGTGACCAGCCTGAGGCGGCACAGCGCACTCATTTGTTGCATTTTGTCGGCACCACCGCGAGGTATCTTTCTTAGAGTTTTAGTGGGACGAGTGGGATTCAGCGTACGAGATAAGTGATAGTAGTATGAAAACGCTTGGCCAGCCGATCCGTGTTTTCGAAGTGGTGTCGCTATGCGACACGTCTGGTTACTACGTATGTGTCTTTGTTGTTTAGAGGCAATCAGATACTCGAAGTGAAGGCGCGCTTCATAATTGATTCCAAGTCGGTTCTCCTCATCCTCGTCATCAATTCCATACTCATACACATCTATACACACCTTTGAGGTCCCCCACGCTCGTCGCCTTTGCTGCTGAACGCAGCCCCAGCAAAACTCTTCACAGCAAGGATCCAGAGTTTGATTTGCGCGGGCTCGGTTGCAGTACGCTTTCGTGGAGGCTTTTCGATAGTGCCCGAAGGAGGCTCGACCTCCAGGATGCGGAGCCTGTCTTGCCGTGGCGTGCTTCTGCCTGTTCGGGTCTCCCCCTCCGGTGTCTTTGCCGCCACGGATCCTCAGGAACGTGCTCCTGACGGGTCCGCGGTTTGAACCATTGAGCGACAGGAGTGTGGGGCGGGGCGAGCGAGCGCGGTCTTGGAATGGGCTCCGACCCCATCAGAAGCCCCTTTGCCGTCCTGGAGAGCTGCACGCGAAGGCAGGGCCAGTTTCGACTCGATCGATTCGATCCGACTTCGGTTTCGCCGTGCTCGGTCCGAGTTTGGTCGTCCAGTGGCCTGATCTATCTCCGTACGTGCAACCGCGCAGTTGGAACATCTGGCCCGATTCGGTTTCGACTCCGTGCCAGATGTAGCCCGACTCCTTGACCCTCCTCCCTCAATCCAAAGTCTTCCTGGACCTCGGATCTGCCGCCTGAGGAACCAGTGTGCGTGGACTTCTGGAGGCGGTTGCTGTGGATATGCTCTGGGCACCTGGGGCCCAGATCTGCGTGTCGTTCCACCGGCCCTCGGGGCCACGGGAGATCGGTTCCCCAGGCGGTGGATGTGTAGCAATTCTGGCCCCGTATTCAAAACAACGACCTCTAGACCTGTCCTTTTGGGCGCGCCCCGACCAGGACCCGAGGCATTCCAAGCGCAAACTCTTTATCCGTAAGGGCTCCGCCCCCATGCCGCCAGCCCCCCTCTCTTAGAATGGGACTTGCCAGAGCTGCGTTGGGATGTCTGGACGCTGACGTGAAGCAACGTCGGGACTTCACAAACTGTTGAATATTCCACAACTATGAATGTTGCATAACTTTCTATGGTTTATGACTTCGGGGGCGCGGATATTGCGTAACTTACCAGGGTTCATGTCTTCGGGGACGCGAATATCGCATACATTACGAGGGCTTATGGCCTCGAGGGCGCAACTAGTGCGTTCTTTATAGAGGCTTATGGCCTCGGGGACGCAACTCTCGAGTAATGTACAAAAGATTACGGCGTCGGAGACGCGAACATTGTAATTTAGGTGGGTGTATGGCCTCGGCGACGCTAACATGGTGCAATTTACTGAGAGTAATGGCTTCGGGGACGCGAATACCAAATATTTGTTCGTGTCCCACGCCCCCCCAGGAATTCAGGCAACGCGATCTGGGCGTGGAAAAACAGCTGGTTTGGGGCTCCCCCCCCCTCGCGCGTTCAGTAACAATTAACAGTAAGGAAGCAGAAAGCAGGACTGTAAGAGTGGAAATGGGAAGCTGCAACTGGAACAGGGAGCTGTAATCCTCACCCCCGCAGCCTGGTGGCCCCGCAAGTGGGCCGGCGGATCTTGCGATCCCTCGTCCTCCTCGGAACTCCCGGGAAGTCTCTTTGGAGATTTCCAGGGGCTCAAACAGATCCAGAGTTGTGCAGCTTGAAAAATACCTCCTCCCCATCGTGGCCTGGATCCTCGATGCACGGTGCGATGTCTGGCGATTTTGCGTTGATCTTGTAAGCTCGCGTCGTGTCGGCCGGCGGCGATCCCGCCGCTGGCGTTCAACGCTGAACGCCGCTGGCGACGCGGAATCGGCCAGTCGTTGACCGACCCTGCGTTTTTGAAGCGGCTAATCGTTCAAGGTTGAACGATCCTTGCTGTGTCAGGAACCAGCGCCAGTGTCAACACGACGCGCACTTGCCGTACTTGTCTGAATCTTGCGCGCGAAGGACGTGGTGGAGCTGCGCGAGTACGTCCGCCTGCGCTGCGACGACCTCGAGAGGCGCCTCGCCCCGCCCTCAGCGCCGGGTCCCCTCCCCCCTCCGCGCCTCTTCTCCCGAGGCTGGTGGCGGGTACCAAAGGGTGGCTCCGAGGGACAACGTTAGGGGGGAGGGGGGAGGATGGGGTCAGGCGGGGACGCATGGACCCCCCGACGCCTTGAGAGTGGATGACGTACCCATTTCTACTCTTCTGCTTTACCATCCACATATATTTCTCTTGTTATGTTGTTAGCAGTCTTGAGCCGAGAGTGTCACTTCGCAAAGGCTTGGCGAGCTCGACGACCTGCCTGGCGGTGCAGGAATCGCGGCGCCAGGATCTCAGACGAGGAGGGCGCTGAGCAGGGGGGACGGAGGCCGAGAGAGGACCCCCCCCCCCGCTCGTGCCCACTGTGTCGCCCCTCAGCTCTCCCCCCCCCGCCCCGCGAGGCGCCTGCTCACTGGCCGAAGTTCTCGGCGCTGCAGCTCCTGCATCTCCGCGTCCGCCGTGCCGCCGACGTCCCCCCGAGGCGCCGCGGGGGGGGGGGCGCGGCCTGGCCGCCGACGGCCAGCGACGACTGCCGCCGACGGTGACGGCCGACGGCTGGCGGCCGACGGCCGCCGCTTGCTGCCTTTCCGAGGCGCCGCGGCGGCGGCCGCCGGCGCCCCCGCGGCGCGCGGCTCCTGGCACCGCAGGGGAGGCCAATCCAAACGGGGGGGACCGCGTCGACCTCAGAGCACCGAGTCATCACAGCTCACGTAAGCGTGAGAGTGACTGAAGACTACACGTGAGCGTGAGTCTGCACGCCCGACGTAAGACTACACGTAAAGCGTGAGAGTGACCTTCCGCCGCAGCGACCGTGCGGGCCCACGGGGATCCCCCGATCGCCGATCGCGGTGCGACAGTTCCGTCTGGCGCGCCTGGGTCTCGCCCCCTCGCGGCTCCCCAGGAGCCGCGCACCCGCAGGGGGAGGAGGAGGAGGAGGAGGAGGAGGAGGAGGAGGAGGAGGGAGGAGGAGGAGAAGGAGGAGGAGGAGGAGGACAAGGAGGAAAAGGTGGAAAAGGAGGAAAAGGAGGAAAAGGAGGAAAAGGAGGAAAAGGAGGAAAAGGAGGAAAAGGAGGAAAAGGAGGGAAAGGAGGAAAAGGAGGAGAAGGAGGAGAAGGAGGAGGGAGCAGGGAGCAGGGAGGTGGGGAGCGAGGGAGGTGGGAGGAGGAGGAGGAAGGAGGACGGGAGGAGGGAGGAGGGAGGAGGAGGAGGAGGAGGGAGGAGGGAGGAGGGAGGAGGGGGAGGAGGAGGAGGGGACGTTGCCTAGGGAGGAGGAGGAGAGGAGGAGAGGAGGAGGAGGAGGTGGAGGAGGAGGTGGAGGAAGGAAGGAGGAGAGTGGAGGAGGCGGGGAGAGGAAGGAGGTGGGGAGGATGGGAGGTGGGAGGAGGGAGGAGGAGGAGGATGAGGAGGAAGTAGGGGGAGAGCAGGAGGAGGAGGAGGAGGAGGAGGATGAGGAGGAGGAGAAGGAGGAAGGAGGAGGAGGAGGAGGAGGAGTAGGAGGAGGAGGGAGGAGGAGTTGCAGGAGGAGGGTGGGGAGGGGAGGAGGGGAGATATGAGGAGGAGGAGGAGGATGAGGAGGAGGAGGAGGAATGGAGGAGGAGGAGGTGGTGGAGGAGGAGGAGGTGGAGGAGGAGGAGGAGGAGGAGGGGTGGAGGAGGCGGGAGGACGGTGGGGAGGTGGGGAGGAGGAGGAGGAGGGGAGGAGGAGAGGAGGGGGGAGGAGGAGGAGGGGAGGAGGAGGAGGAGGAGGAGAGGGGAGGAGGTGGAGGGGGTGGAGCAGGAAGAGGAGGAGGAGGAGGGGGGAGGAGAGAGGGAGGAGGAGGAGGAGGAGGAGGATGGAGTTGAAGGAGGAGGAGGAGGAGGAGGAGGAGGAGGAGGAGGAGGGGAGCAGGGAGGAAGCAGGGGGAGGAGGAGGAGGAGGAGGAGGAGGAGGTGGAGGACGGAGGAAGGAGGCGAGGAGGGAGGAGAGAGGAGAGAGGAGAGAGGAGAGAGGAGAGAGGAGGAGACGGGAGGAGGAGGAGGAGGAGGCTCCCGGCGTTGGCGGCGCACGTGACTCCTGCCTGAAGCCACTCCCGTTTCCTTAGGCCTCCTCCTAGTCCTCCTCCGCCTCCCTCCTCCTCGTCCTCCTCCTCCGCCTCCTCTGTCTGTTCCTCTTCCTCCTTCTCCTCCTCCTCCTCGTCTTCTCCTCCTCCTCCTCCTACTCCTCATCCTCCTCCTCTTCCTCCTCCTCATCATCCTCCTCTTCCGGCCGCTACGACAACATTGGGGTCCAGGGGGTCTCGTTGGTTTCCCTGGACAAGGACCCTGAGTGGGGTAAGGCCGTGGAGGAGGCGTGGAGGTAAGGCCGAAGAGCACCTCGCAGGCCCCACCGAACCCCTGGCGCCCAAGTTGGTCTCCTCCCGGAGGAGTTCCACAGCTGGATTGCCGACTTGTTCGAAGTTCTCGAGGCCAGAGGGGCGTGGCCGAGCTAGCGAGCTCGCGGAGCCTGAGGGGGTGCTCCTGCCCGAGCCTGGGGGCAGCACGGAGGGCCCACTGGATCGCCGGCCGATTTGGCTGCTCCCCATCCTCTATCGGCTATGGTCCGCAGGCAGGGCACAGGTGTTTGCTCGTTGGCGGCTGCAATGGGCTGGCGAGGACATGCGGTTAGGAGCGGAGGAGCTGGCGCGGTAGTTGGCCCTCGAGTTGGAGTCAGCCGAGGCGGCGCTTGACTGACGGAAGGCTTGCGTCGGGGTCGACCTTGCGCCCCTCCCAGGCTTCCTTGCGCGCGCGGTCGTGCCCGCCTGGATCGCCGAGCCGGCGACGGGGGCTTGCCGGGCGCTCCGCCGCCCCCGCGTGGGCCGCGCGATCGGGGATGCGTGGGTTCCCTCTTGCGGGCTGCTGCCGGATTGCCCGCTGGCGGTGCTCGCCCTGAGCATCCTGACCTGGCCGTAGAAATGCAAGGTTGGCCGAATCGACAGCCGCCTGCGCCGTGGGGTGTGCGTGGATGCCTGGACGCCGCGGGTGCAGCCGACGCAGTGGCGGGCGCGCTCAGGGTCACGGGCGCTTTCGAGACAGCGATGGATTGGCGCCTCAACCGAGGGAAGAGCAGACAGTTCGCGAACGAAGGGGCACTCCTGAAGTGGCTGGTTGAGCAAGCCCCCGCGCTGGCAGCGCGGCCCGGGCCCCACGACTTGGGGGTCGCGGCAAGCGCCGGCCCTGCCAGGCGCGGCGGCGGAGGCGTCCCGGGTCCGTGCCGCCGCGGCCGTTTCGCCAGGATCGGCGGCCTGCCGGTTGCTTTCTGCCACTGCTGCATGCTGGGGGCGGTGCGCGGGCGCCCCCCCGCGAGTGAGTCCGCTGCCTGCGTTCGGCTGCGCGGCATGCGGCTTGCCGCGGCGGTCTCCGGGCTTCCGCAGAGATCGTCTTCGGTGTCTTCCGCTGGCCGTCGTGGCCCTGGCGCCTCAGGCGGCCAAGGCCATGCGTCGGGGCAGCTTCCCCGCCGCCCTCTGGCGGGGGGCCGCGGGGCAGCGGCGGCCACGCGCGGCCGCGGCTTCGGGCCGCTGGCGGCGGCGGTCAGGGGCGCGGCCGAGCGTCAGTTGGGGTCCGACTTTGGGGCTTTGGCCGGCGTGCTAAAGGCGCCCTGGCGGCCGGAGGAACGCGGCCTGCAGGCGACGAGGCGGGTGCTGCTGGAGGCTCGGGCTCGCAGAGAGGCTCGGGGCTGGCGGCTCGCCGGGCAACCTTCGGGCACGCGGTGGCTGGCGTAGCACGGGCGGCTCGCCGTTGACGCCGCGGGCGCGCTGCGCACGGTGCTGTCTGGCAACGCGGTCACAGAGAGTGCGGGCTTCGAAGTGGGGCCGCCCCGCGGGCTGCCCGCGCTGAGGCGCGCCGCTGGAGGACGCCCAGCACCGTTTCTGGGATTGCCCGCGCCGGGGCTCAGCGCGACGCGCCGCCTTCGCGGCCACGGGGCTCACCCCCGAAGCGGCGCGGGCTTGCTTGCCGCCAGAGGTGGCCTTGACGGGAGTCCTGTCGCGGGACGCGCGCTTGGCGGTTCTCGCCGACCATGCGATGTGGCCGCTCCCGGCGCCAGCGCTGCCCAGCCTGGCCGTTGTTGCTACGGGGGTCGCGGGCCCGCGGACAGGCGGCGCTTGCGTGCGCCCAGCTGACTCTCTTCTAGCCAGGGCTGGATGGGGGGCTCGCGCGGAGCGCCCTGCTGGCACAACGCGGGAACGCGGGGGGCCGGTCGATGGCGAGCAGACCGCGCAGCGGGTTGAGCTCGCGGGTTGAGCTCTTGATTGCCATGCGGGCGCTTGGGCTGGCTGGTGGGTCGGTGGAGTCCATCGCGGGTTCGAAGCGCGTGATCGCAACGGCGTGGCGGCGCTACTGGGCGGGGCAGCGCCCGTGGAGTGGTCGCACGCCGACCCCTGGAACCAGCTGGCCCCTTACTACAGGGCCGACTGGCTGAGGGCCCGCTGGGTCAAGAGCTGCTTGGGCGAGGAGGAGGCGCGGGGGCGAGGGCCACGCTGGCAACGCGGCGGCCGACAGACTAGCTGGCGCGGGCGCGCCTGCCCGCCCTGGCCTTGCTGCGGCAGCGCGAGCGGCAGCTGCAGGCGCTGGAGGGCGTCCATCGGGCTCTGGCGGCGGCGGAGCTGGCGGCCTTCAAGGCCACGACTGCACCGCGCCAGGCGGGCCCCGGGTGCGGCGCCCGCCCGGCGCGCGGCGGGCCGGCGACACGCGGCGGCCGCCGGCGGCGGGCCGCCGTTGCAGGCGCCGCCGGCAGCGCCGTGGGCCCCGCAGCCGCTGCGGCACCCACTGCCGCCGCCCGCCCACGCGCTCTTCGGCGGGCGATCCTGGAGGGCCCACGCCGCCTCGCAGGGGCTGGGCTGGGTAGCCTGCCTGCAGTGCGGCTGCGCGGCGCCGCGGTGGGGCGCCTTGGCTGCTGGCCCATGCGCTGGCTGGGTCCCCTCCTTGCCGCCGCGCGTGGACGCGCTGCCCCTGCTGCCGCCTGCGCAGGCCGGAGGCGACGAGGGCGATGGGCGGGCGGCTTTGCGGGCCCGCCTGGCCGCGCGCGCGGGCGCGCCTGAGGCGCCGAGCTGATTAGGCGCGGCGACTGGCCCCCTCTCCTCTTTCTCTCTTCCCCCCCTGCCTGCTTTCCTCGCCACAGGGCCCCTCTTGCGCTTGCTAAAAAGTATACGCATGCATGTATATACGCATGCATGCATGTATTTACGTGTGTGTATATATATATATACATATATATAGATAAATGTGTATACACACACTTGTGAATATTCATATATGTAGCTATGTATATACACACACGTAGGGAGATCTCGGCCCCGCGGCCCCAGGCCGACCCCTCCCTAGTGCATTCGGCGGTTTTTCTTGGAGGCTCCCGAGGCTCACGGACCGCCCGAGAACGCCGCAAGAGCGCACAGGAAAGCCTCCAGATCGCCCACGAGGCCTCCAGGACGCCCCGACAGAGGCCCAAAAGCGTTTCGAGAACTCCCAATATGGCCTCCAGAAAAAACCCAAGAGGCCTCCCAGAGGGCCCAAGGAGGCCCAAATCGGCGCAGTCCTTTCTGGAAAAACATATATTTTCATCGTGTAGGGTTCCGATGCTTACGGAGTCCAATAATGCCACATGGGCGCAAGAGGGGGCCCCAAGACGGCCCAGGGAACGCCCAGTACAGCCCAAGAGAGCCCCAAAAGGGCTTCAAGGGAACCCGAAAAAGGCTTCAGGAGAGGGTCATGGTCGTGGGGTTCTCTCTTGGGGAAGGTGGCTCCCAACATGGCCTCATGACCCTCCTGGAGGCCTCCAGGACGCGGCCAAGAAGCCCCAACAAACTCCTTGGAGACCCCAGGAGGCCCCGAGAGGCCCCTAAAAGCCCCCGCAGAGGCCTCCAAGAGGACAGCCTTTCGCAGTCGCGTGTAGCGCTTGACGCGGCCATCTTTTCATAGACTGTGCGCCGTTGGAGCAGTGCGGATCGGGCTGCTTCGCGATCCCGTCACATTCCTTTCCTTTCTTCAATCTCTCCGCTCTCCACAACGTCTTCTCGCATCCTTCTTTCTGCTTGTAATCTCCGCATCTCTCTGATCCATCTACCCTCGGCGATCCTCTATCTTACCTTTTACCTTCGAAATGGGCCGACGTCACCTGCGTCCCACAGCCCGGCGTCCCCAGAATCTGTTCTTGGGCTCCTCGTCTTTGTGCTAGGTGTATGGTTCCTGTGCTAGGGTTCGGGTGGGAGGGTTCGGGTGCGAATGCCAAGGTGTTCGCGTTCAGGTTCGGGTTTTGGGGCTCGGATGTTCGGTGTTCGGGTGAGTGTGTCAGGGTGAGGGTGTGTGTCAGGGTAAGGGTGTCAGGGCTAGAATGTTATGGCTCGAGTGAGAATGTTGAGATGTTCAAGTGTTGGGGTGTTGTGTTAAGGCTTTCGAGCTCGGGTGTTCATGCTCGGTGCTTGGCGTAGACTGTTAGGACTTGAGCTTTCGAATTCCCCTGTTGGGGCTTGAGGGCCAGGGCTCGGGTGTATGAATTTTGGATTTGGAGTTGGGGCAAGGTCTGCGGGTGTTCGGATGTTCGTGTTCACTTGTTCCGGTCAGGGTGTTCGGGTCTTCGGGTATTCGGGAAGACGCCTCGGAATCGGTCCCATGCTTGCTAAGACTGTCTTCAGAACCGCTCCCATTGAGGCTCCAAGCATGACATAAGATTTCCGAAGGCCTCCCACGAGGCACCAATCAGTTTGTCAAAGATGCCTCCGACCTACGACCAAACGGGGCGGCGGGTTTGGCCAAATGCCATGCTACACCAATACACATACATGCACACAGTTGCATGCATGTTTATGTTATGTGGAAGCCGCGTGATTGATTGTAGGTATGGGGTGACTAGAATGGGCCTTGCACCCGACACAACAACGTCAACAAATTGTGATGCGTGTTCCATGGGCGCGGCAAGAACGTAAGCGCGCGCGAAGCGCGCGTAGTTCTAGCCGCGCCCATACATATAGACTCGTGGTTCTAGCACGTGTCTCTATACATATACATGTTTATATATATATGTATATACACGTGTATACACATACATATGAACACCTCTATACACTTGTGTATATAGACACGCGTGTATACACGTGTATACACACGTGTCTATATATTTACACACACGTTCTATAGTTATATGTACACCTCTATACATATAACTGTATAGAGGTGTACCCCCCCCCACCTAGGTGGGTAAGTCGGCCAGTGTTGTCAAGGCCAGATCAGTGGTGATGGGCGTCCGTCGACCGATGCCCACCTGCCCAAGCACAGACGCACCCGGGAGATGTGGCCCTCGAGGCCGCCAAGGAGGCGCGTGCCGTGGCCGGAGGCCGTGGCCCCTGCGGGGCACGGGGCTCCGGAGACGGCCATGCAAACGGGTGTCATCGGACGGCGCCAGGACGAGGAGAAGTCCGTTCCAGAGCCTCTCGGAAGGCTCTGGGAGCGCTCGGGAGTGCTCTCGGAGGGCCTCGGCGCCCGAGGCATCCTCCAGGGCCGCCGGATCTCTGAAATTCTCGATGCATCCTCACCCGATTGTATCCTTCGGGGGTGGACAGAACCCCCAACAGTGACACGTCGATTAGTGAATGGTCCGTTTTTGGTTCTCGAGAGGGCGCCGCGGCCGTTATTTTCCAGGCTTGCGCCCGCCAGGTTTGGGCCTCAGGTCGTTTTCACTAAACCACGACGTTTTACTAAAGGGGGGTCTGTCCATCCCCGAATCCTCGCCCTGGCTCCGTCCTAGGTCAGTCAGAGCGCCGGATCTCGTAGGATCCTGCAGGGCCAGGATCGCAAGGACCCTGGCTGTTTGGGTGCAGGATCCTGCAGGATCCTGCGCGATCCTGCAAGGCCCGACTGACCCGGGTTTGGATTGGCTCGGGTCAGCAGATCCCCGAGGGGCCTCCACTGGGAGCGCAGCGCCCCTCGGGGGGAGACGTTTGGGCCCCCACCGAGGCACGGCGCGGCGGGCCAGATGTCGCCGGCGGGCCGCCGGCTGTCGGCCCCCAGCCAGCTGTCGGTCGGGTGGCCCAGGGGGTGCCAAGCGAAAGATTCAGGAGGAAAAGAAACACACAGACACAATTAATCGTCGATCCCCAGGAAAATATGGGAAAATATGGGAAGTGGGGGGGAAGACAGAAACCCATAAAATATAGGAAAATATGGGGAATCCTTTTATTTGTGTCTATTTATTTGTGTGTCCTTGGGCCCCTTCAAAGATGGGGCGTTGCTTGATGGGGTGGCTCGGCGGCGAGCCCAGTGGGACCTCTAGGAGGCCAAAACCACTGATTCCCCTTAGATCTTCAGGTGGTTTCAGCTTCCCCATATCGGCGGCGAGTCCGGGGGGGACTTGAAGTGAGAAGGGGCGGGCTTTCTCCAAAGGCTCGGAAGTCTTCTGGCATTGTGAGAGATGTTCTAAGCCTTCCCCGAAGACACAGAAGGCGCGAGGGCTTCTGAGGAGGCCTTCTCATTTCCCCCCCTCGCTCGCCGCCAGGGGCCTCCTGGGAGGTCCTCGTCGCCACCGCTGGATTCGCTTCGAAATTCTGGTCAGATCGCACCCCGGTACCATTTGGCTTCCCCATAGGTGCAGAACATCGGAAGGACTTAGAATCGATGTAAATCCGCTCCAGGGCGTGCCGGAGAGCGTTCATGAGCGCTCTGAAACGGCCGCGGCGCCCGATACATGATCCAAGCCCGCCGATTCTCAAAGATGTCCGCTTCCTATGGGTATTGTGTCTCGATTCTGCCTTCGTTTTAGAAATGGAGAGAGCAGCAAGGAGGGAGACCGAGGGGAGCGAGGAGAAGCAGGGCGAGGAGGAGGAGGAGGAGCAGGAGGAGGCGAGGCGAGCGGGGGGAGCGGGGGCAACGGCAAGGCAGCGAAGGGGCCCCTCGGGATCGGCGGTAGACCAGTTAGAGACACACCCCGCAGCGAGCGCTGCGACGCAAAAGAAAAGCCGGCCTAGACGAACACGCCACACACGTGGTCGGAGGCCTCATAGACATCGAAGGACGCGAAAACGCCCCCGTCAAAGTGCAGCGCTAGGCCGAAGTCATTGTAATCAGCGAGCTCGTGGCAGTCCGTGGACAGGACGAGGTACGAAACCAACGCACGCCCAAGTATTGTTCGAGCTGCAGCAAAACGCGACGGAACCTGACTCCCGAAGGTCAGGGTTTGAAATTCGAGGCACAGGATCACGGCAAAACGCGACGAATGAGCCTGCCCGAAGGTCAGGATTTGCTAGTTCGAGTCGCGAGCCACGGCAAAACGCGACGTGAGCCTGACTCCCGAAGGCCAGGACTTGCCAACACTCACGAACTAGCCTCCTTGCCGTCCACGGCTTTTTCATGAACTCCTCCATGGCGCCAGGGGGCGCCGCGCCCCGGGCCCTGCGAGCCCCTGTCTCCACCAGCGTCTTTTGCATCAGGCCGCGGACTTGTATGGGAGAAGGCAGCGGCTGCTCGTCGGACTCTGGCGAGGGCTGGTCCATCGGCACGTCTTTCAGCATGCTGTGTATCTTGCGCTCGGTCTGGCCGTAGCACTTCATCACTCGGAACAGACGCAGCATGTCGTGCAGCTCCTCGGCCTGCAGCTCCACCCATGCTTTGTCGTGCCAGAGCTTGAGCCTCGCGCGCGTCAGCTGCCCCAGCGCGACTCCACGCTCGAGCAACTTGCTGAGAAACCCATCGAATAGATGAAGGTGAGGTGGACCGAGCTGGCGGCCTTTCCCGCGGGCTCGGATTTCGCGTGAACATGTCACCCCGCACTCGCTGGCTGCGACCACCTCTGGCGCGTCCGCGCCCATGAAGAACGCGCCAACGCCCGCGGCCCACAGGTCCCGCACTTCTGCGTGGTGAGCAGCACCTGCTTGACCATGACGTCGATCAAAGCCGCCTGCTTCTTGTTGAAGCCCATGTCCTTGACCTTGCCCAGGTGGCGGTTGCTGTTCTTCTTGCCTCCTGCTGCGTTCCCCTGCTGACCGTTGCCTGCGGCGGCGCTCTGTCCCCCAGAGCCCGCGGCTTCACCCTGCCTGGGCGGGGGGGGGGGCATGGCTTTGCCGAGGGCAGGGGCGCCCGCGGCCTCGCCGTCGGCGGCCCGCTTGGGAAGGCGCCACTTTGGCGCCGCCATCGCGCGCAGGAGCTCGGACAGGGACGAAAGGGGAAGTGCAGCTCACATATGTGCGCCTGAAGCTGAGCCAAATCGGCGAAACTGTCGAGCTTGCTGGCTGGGCAGACGAGCTCGGGTGGCATCGGTGCACAGAATGGCCGGACTCCGTAGCGCAGAATCCCTGACGAAACGCACGGCAAAGACGGGCCTCGGCAGTCTTCTGGAAAGCGAACGACGATCGACAAGCAGGGCACTCGTTGGTAACCACGCACCTTGCATAGTACGAGAAGTCCCCGTGCGAGCCCCCAATGGCGCGCGTCTTGCGCGCGATGAGCGCGGCGTGCGAGAGGAACTTAGCACCGCAAACGTCGCCGTCGTCGGCAGTTCAATCGCACGCAAAGACAGCCATCAGGACCCAAGAAATCCGAGACAGAGGTTCTGGTTTTCTTGAAAGTCTCCAGGGGGTGTCCGAAATCGACCGTGTCAAGTTCAGCGCTGCTGGGCCGCCAAATCGTCCGAAGGGCCGACACATCCGCCGAGAGAAACAAATGCTTGGTGTAATCGTCGTAGAAAAGGTCGCGCGAGTTCCCCCAAAAAAAAACCTGCGGCCAGCCCCCAAAATCTGCGAGCAACTTGAGCTTGTCAGCGTCCGAGACAAATCTAAAAGCGAAAGCGTTGGCGCGCGGGGTCAAGTGGCCCTCCGAGACCGCGGGGTGGTCCTCGGAGCCGAACTTACCGAACAAAAGGGCGATGACCTGCCGGTGGTCTTCTGGCCATCGCACAATCGACTGGCACCGCCTAAGCCTCTGGATGAGAAGCTCAACGTGGGTCGGAACGAGGTTCATCGACAGCCAGACTCTACGAGTGTCGCACGACTTAGGGTGGGCCCCTGGCTGATCACACATAGCCCCCGCCGCTGTACGCCGAATTTTACCTAGCAGCGCATGGCCAAGTTGGGCCTCCTGGGCATCCGTGAGGAGATATGGGGCGAGGCCAGACAGTAGTGCGCCCTGCACGGCGGAAGTGAATACTAGTCTCTTCACCGCACAGGGGGCCCCCGAGGGCGAAAGGTATTTAAAGGCAAGTCATCCTCTGGCCGCTTGTTTACTCAAATGCATATGATGCGACAGCGCCCCCGACGGCAATAACCGAGGGCCGAGATTGCGCGTGCGTGGGGCGGCTCTGGCGCCGCCCACCTCGGCCGCATAAAACTTGCGATTGGCGGTATACCCGCAGGGGCGTGGGACCAAGACCTGCTTTTTAGTGTTCTGACGGTAGCCAAAAGCATCGAGCTGGGCCCCTAGGGAGGCCTGCGAGGCCTGGGCGCACGCAGCGGCTTCCGCGAGGGCCCCAGAGGTTAGGGGCAAAGAATAAGCCAGGTCATCCACGAACTTCAGAAGGCCCCCGTAGACACTGACATCAAAACGCGAACACTGCTTTCCTCCAGCCACTTCTGTAACGGCCGAGCAAAGTCCACCCGAACTTTCGCCAGGGGCACTAGGATTCCCCATGAGGGGCCTCGCTTTGGAGGTGAAGAGTGGTGTGCTTATCAATTCCGTCCATGTGCAGAATATGGGTGGTTCGCTTGTCGGCAAGCAGATCGGCATCCACCGAAGGAAGATACTCGTGCAGCCCCTGATCCATGCGGCTGTGAGTACAACACCCGAACGCGTTTTTCCTGTCGTCAAAGACCGCCGCAGGCCACAGCCGCGCGCAGACGCTCGGACAACACATGCACTCCGAGAATGGCGTTCTCTCTCCTGCGATGGGGTATTCAACCGTGGTCAAACTCGTTTGGTGCCCCGTGGTGAACAGAGCAGTAGATGCCTCGGACAATCGCCCTGAAAAAGGGGCAGAGGCCATGTAAGAATCGCGTGCCACCGTCTGGCTTGGGGGTCTGCCAGCCAATCGAGGACCCCGCACACGTCGGAAACCTCCCACACACCCGCCAGCACGTGGCGAGAGTCCCCAAGCCAGCCGAGATGTGCTCCACATCGGGGGGGTCGGATTTGGCGCCGAGACCCATGGGGGACGGGTGAGGGCGGCTGTAGTATTCAGGCTTTACAGGCATGAGCCAAATCTCGCCAGACAGGGACCAGGGGGGAGTCGCACGACGGCGAGTCGAACGGCGCAGCACCCGCGAGGCTCTGCGAAGATCCTGCCACCCCCTAGCCTCCGCCGAGCCCCGATCAGTCATCCCCCGTGGGGTCAGCGAGGCCCGCTCCTGCAGAACAGTGTCCAGACAGACCTGGGTGGCTTGCAGTCCGCCTTGGTTGCCAGGGAGGCCCAGGGAGCACGCGAGTTCATCGGCCGATGCATGGCGACGGTGCACAGACGAGTAGTCGCGGCGCTTCGGCCCCAGGCCCGAGCCAGACAGACGGCGACAGAAGTTTTGGATTTTCGGCAGATCACGGCGCCTCCAAGCCTCGTGCACACCCTCAGTCCACGTACGACGGAGCGATCTCGTCCAGCGCCGTACCTCCCACTTGATGCGATTCGTGAGGTCGCGGACCTGCGCGTCGAAGAAGGCGTGCGGAGTGCGCAGGGCCCGAAGCCGAGCACGATGCCTGATAAGGTGGCGAACAGCCGCACCAGGTGCACGCCTCGCACGCCCGAAGTACTTCTTGGCGATCGGCATGAACATGGAGACCAGCGCGTCGCAACCCTCGTCGATGCGGTCGGACTCGAAGAGCCCAAGTAGGGCGGGGGCGCGCGACTTCATGGCGGCGTTCAGCTCGGACAGGAAATCCTCGCGGAAACCAGGCGTCTGACGCGCCAGCTCGATGACATCAAAGTTCCACGCCATAGCCGCGCCGCCGTTCTGCAAACTGGGCACCCCCGACTCGAGCTCGAGCAGGATGGGAGCGCGGTCCCGCAGGGAGTCCTTGCTCGGAAAGAGCCGGAGCGAACGCGCAGCCTT